AGTGAGTGCTGGTGGTGGTTGGAGGGACTGATGGCCCAGTTTGGCAACTGCGCTTCAGTCAGTCTGCCCCAGGGCCAGTGTTGGGAGTAACGCGTTATAAAAGTAACGAATTACAGTAATGCATTACTTTTTGCTGTAACGCAGTAATGTAAGGCATTACAGGGGAAAAAATAGTAATATTTTACTCGGTACAAATGTGAGTAACGCGCGTTACAATGTTTTTTTTAACCTGGATTGAAGTGGTGGGTTTTTCTTCATACAAATTCGCTAAAATCACCTCGATATCAGCAGCGGTGAAACGCCGGAGATGCGCCCTCGTAGACCTTCAGGTAACCGCGGGCAAAAGGACTGACAAAGAACTCCACGCTGTTTAGACCTGGTTTAGACCTGGGTCGGTTCTGGTTTAGACCCCTTTTTACACTCGTCCCTCCCTCTATCGCAGTTCACTTTTCGCTGTCTCGCAGATTTTATTTATTTTTTGTGCAATTTTGCATGCCCTGTTTTTTTTTTTACATTGTATGAATGCGTATTGCGTTCCTCCCGCTGCGTCCTGACTGGCCAAGGGCAACTCAACTGTCTCCTGCTACATGTCACACAAAAAGTTGGTACAGAATGTGTTGCAGCTGAGGTGCGGAGCAGAGCCCACTCCTTTCTCCTGCGGTCACCTTCGAGCCCTTCCCTACAGTGAGTCCTGTTTTAGTCCTAGTTCAGTTCTGGTTTAGTTCTAGTTCACTTCTGGTTTAGTCCTGGTTCAGCTCTGGTTTAGTCCTGGTTTAGACCTGGTTTAGTCCTGGTTCAGTCCATATACGGCGCAAAAGTTATTTTGGTGAGAGTAACTTAAAGTAATGCAATAGTAATGTAATGCCTTACATTTTAAATGCAGTAATATTGTAATGTAACGAATTACTTTGAAATGACAGTAATAGGTAATAAATAACGCATTACAGTTTCAAAGTAACTTGCCCAACAGTGCCCAGGGCAGCTGTGGCTACAACAGCAGCTTACCACCACTGAGTGTGGAGTGACTGAATAATGTTCTGTAAAGCATCTTTGTGACAAATGTCTGTGAAAAGTACTATATAAACACAAACTTGCTTGCTTTTAAGCCTTAATAACAGAGCTTTATTTCTTCATGTAGTCTACACTGAAATGAAGCAAAAGAACATGGCCATTGTTGTTCCCTCAGTTTTTTTGGGTTTTTGTTTTTTTTAGCTTTTGCTGCACCACAACAATGAATCCAAGCAAACAGACTTGCAAGTCGATATACTGTCATGGCCCCAATGCTGTGAGACTTCTGACAATACGATACCGTGATATATCAGTTATTGTTACATCAATAACTACAATATAATAATAATAATAGTTTTCTATTTAAAGAATTAGCAGTCTTGGCATTGCCTTGATTTCAAACCATTTGTTTCTCAGCTCACAGGTGATAACAGTGGGATGAGACACGTTTTAAATAGGACTAAAACAGTAGCTTCTACATAGCTACATAGATTGCTCTTTGGTATTGGCCAAGAAATAATGTCAGATTTAAACAGCGGAAAAGGCCTGCACAGTGAATATCCAGGTACAGTACCTATTCCCTGGTATCTGTATTCCCCATTTGACTGGGAACAGGGGGATTGGGAAACATGGATTCGAACCCCCAAACATCCAAGTTGGTTATTAGCCAGACATGACTTGCAATCGTTTCTAATTTAACTTGTTTATGCAGTTCTGTTTAATTGGACTCTGTTAAGCATATTACTATAGCAAATATACCATTGCATACTCAAACCTAAACCAAGCCTGTTTAACATTCTGGTTCCTTGGCCCTATGGAAAAGCCAAAGCACGGCTGATAAATAATGCAGAGGTGTGTGGTTTCCTCACAGACTATTACAGTTTAACCTGACACAGTAATGCATAAATGATCATTTCCTTTGGAAATATGATCCATCACCAATCTCTGACAGGATCTTCCTATAGGATCAATGCATACGGAATATCAGCCGTGGCTAATTACACTGCTGGGTACATATATAGGTATCACAAGAAATCAGACTTGAGACTTATAGACCCTTCCAGGACTGTTGTGTTTAGAATAGAATCGCCTTGTTTTATCACATTAATTTTATGGAGGCAGCAGTAAGAAACAAAATAAAATGGTTGTTATTCATTATCGTTACCATTGCCAACGAGTTTAAAAGGGCTTATATTACGCAATTTATTTATTTATTTTTTTTTTATAATGATGTCTCCTCATCAAAAACATACCTGGAGTTATGTTTTGTTTCATTCACATAATCCTGCATATTTAGGCTGAGTTCTTCTCTCAAACATGACGTCACGTGGCAGTACAGGAAGTGCTCTACTGTGTTTCTAAATTCTAAGCAAGCCGGACATCCTGTCTGGTAATCGCGCCTGTGACCTTCTAGATATGACTAAACTTCTAGATATGGTTAAACAAACACTTTTTTGTATAGATTTATTTCAGTTAAGTTGTGAACTGTGGGAAAAACAGGAACAGAGATACATAACATGCAGATAATAACACAATTTTAAGTGGAACTAAACGCTAAGTGGTAGGGGTGTATCTTATCATAAAAGTCCTCACAATAATATCAATCAATAATATATCGAATTACATGTCTCTTTGCTTAAATTAAGAGTTATGGTGCAGTAATACCTAAAAAAAAGACATAGGGAACTACATAGACCATGATCCTTTGCTCCATTTCAGTGTAGATTACATGGAGAAATAACAGTTCTAAGCACTTTTAAGTCTTAGTTGTTTAGATTAAGTCTTGTCAAGGCATTTTAAGAGGAAAAAGTAGCATAACAGTTTTGTTCGTACCCTCTACAAAATATTGCAATAAATATTGTACCGTGAGGTTCATATCGTGATGATATCGTATCGTGAGGATATTGTTACAACTCTTTTAGGTGGGTATATGGTGTTTTGATAGCAATATTTATCAACTTTAGCGCTAACTAGGTATATCTACAGTTTTGTGGTCAAAAACAGTCCAAGTGTGCTGCCTTCAGTGGCTACTACACTTGTGCACATCACACGGGACTGCCCTGATTACAGACGGTGCTTCTGAATACAAAAACCTGGCTGCAGAAGTGGAAACCTGTACCTATCACTGCTCCTTATTCCTCTCCCCCCTCCACGCTCTCCTTTAGCCCTCCATGTACTGCCCAAATGATCACCTCTACTTTTTATCATTTAAATGTTCAATGTGCCTGTTTGATAGTACAGTTGAGTTGCGCGAGTATTGGCTCAGTCCAATCGATACAGTCAAGTCAACGGTCAAAGAAGAGTAAGCCAATCACAGCATCTGACATCATGCCAAACTACAACAATATTTTACATCCTGCTCTATGTTCAGACTTCTGCCTTCCAATCTAAATCTTTTCTGCATGGGTACTCCACTGTATGGCACCGCTCTCTGTCAATCATAAAACAGGAATGAGAAGGGAGCTGTAGATCCACCTGTGTATGGCAAGCCCAACCATCACTCATGAATGAATGAAAAACTCACAGCTTGGTGCTGTAATATTTGAGGTGAAAGATTTTTGTCAAATTCTCGATTCTAACACTGCAACAAAAGAGCAGTTTAGTAGCAGCAGAAGCAAAAATGGGTGGGGTGGAGCAAGGACTATGGACTTATCCTTCTTTTTTGGTTACACATACCTTTTTTAACCATTTCGCATATGCTGTGTGTCTTCACCACCCGAAGCCACTATAACGGTGTACTAACTGATGTCAGCAAATACTTCAGAGCTTCTGTGGGCTCTGCACTAGGTATTCTTAAAGATGGGGATATATGTATATGCAATGCACAGTGCGTTCCAGGGTTTAGTCAATAATACACCATCAGGTTCATTTGTGCTTGCCTTGTCATTTGCAATTTTACCTTTTGAATATTTCATAGCAAATTGCAAAGTTATCACTATAGGAAAAGACTGGCATCATTATCATATTCTAGCATCTGCAACTCAAAATGATTCTCAGTGTCTTGTGTGGCCCCTTCATGCTTGTATGCATGTTTGACAACATCATGGCATCCTCCTAATGAGATGATGGATGTACCCAAACATAATGTCCCAGAGGTGTTTAAGTCAGGTCATTGTGATGGCCATTCAGTCCTTCATCCTCCAGGTTCTGCCTCCAGACTCTTGCTACATGAGGCATTGTCGTGCATCAGGAGGAACCCAGGACCTACTGCACCAGCGTAGGGTCTGCCCAGGGGCACCAGTGGCAGACTTACCAATTCTGGTGTCATCCAGCAAATGCCAATCAAGCTCCACGGTGCTGGGCAGTGAGCACAGGGCCCACTACAGGAAGTGATGCCCTCAAGTTGCCCTCATGGAGTCTGTTTCTGGTTGTTTGTGCAGAGACATTCACACCAGTGGCTTGCTGTAAATCATTCTGTAGAACACGAACAGTTTTCAGCCCATTCCTCTTTGCACAAAGGAGCAGATATCGGTTCTGCTGATGGGTTGAGGACCTTTTAAGGCCCTGTCCAGTTCTCCTAGAGGAACTGCCTGTCTCCTGAAATCTCATCTTTGTTCTGGAGATTGTGCTGGGAGACACATTAAATCTCCGTGCAATGACACTTCTGGATGTGTCATCCTGGAGAAGTTTGACAATCTGTGCAGCATCTGTAGGGTTAATGTCCTCATACTCTTGCCAAAGCAGCACTAATGGAAAACCAGCCAAAAAAAGACAGAGAGGGAGAAACTTGAAATGACCTCCAGTCGTGTTTTAGGGATTGTCTCACTGTTACTGATCTAGTGCACTATTGTTGATTGTGTGATGTTGATTACAACATCACATAATGGGTTCTATGATCTGCATATTGATGTGCAAAAAATAAAGAACATTGATTTTCTGTGTTTGTGTTTATCAACTTTATACAGTCATTTCTCAACTGCTGTCGGGAAATGGTGCCTACTGTTTGTATTTGTGTTAGGGGACTTGGACCTTTGGGACAGGGGATAAAAAAAGCCCATCCTGAGTGAGTTCTGCACTGGAGCAGGTCTGAGCTGAATATGAGGAGGACTGTGCTGTGGCTTTTGGCCTCTCTGGGCCTGGTCTGTTTCACCGCTGTCACTGATGCTGCCCAACTGTAAGTATGCATTATATATATATTGATTTAAATCAAATCTTTAGCAAAAAATACATAAATAAACACATTCACAGACATTGACTAAAGGAATTAGTGGTGATTTGTGTATTAGTAAATATTTATTGCATCAACTTAAGATCAAAATGAAGGGTCAGCTGAGGTGGATTGATATAGATATAAGATAGAATTGTTTCTAAATGATTGTGCCTGCTTATATTTAAAGAAAACTAAGTAATTACAACTTAACCCATTAATGTCCAAATATTTCCCAAAGATGTAATTATGAAATGTGCCATTTGTAGTACTTTGGCATTATCACGTATTATTTTTATGAAAATTGTCAAAAAGACACCAGACCTCTCGGAAGCGAGGTGGAGATGCACTGTCTTGCCCAGTGGCTTTTCCACGAAGCCCCTCCACGGGGTGTGGATTGCACGGGCTGGTCCCTATCCCCCCAGGCGGAGGCCGGCCTTCTGCTTAAGAGCCTCCCTGGCCCGGGGAGCTCGGACTTGCAAACCTACAGACTGCCAGCCGTGGGACAGGCGTCCGGACCCAAACACGGCCCCTGACATCCCTTAACTGGGGCATGGGGGGCCACAGCCGGGACTCGCCCTCCTGGTGCATGCGATGAAATAATTTATATCCCCCTCCCCTGATGTATTTTGAAAAGTTTGTTTGGACCTACTATCTATGGTTCGCTTTCTCAGCAGAGGGAGCATACCAGAGTTTGGTCAAGGGGACCAAGACCTCAAAAAAAAAAAAAAAAAAAAAAAAAAGAGGTGGTCTCGGTCTGCTTGATTTTGTGATTTTATTTAGATCAATTTAGATCTGGGTGCGACTGAAGCTTTCACACCAACAAAAATGAACCAAACTTAGAGCTTCTGGTTTGAAAGGAATGTTTGGTGCGCACCAACTGCTGTCAGTGTAAAAGCACCCTTAAACTGCAGTAGCTGGACCTGACCAATAGCAAGTAGAGAATCTTGACTGTAGCTAAAGGACCCCTGCTTCTAGAGGTCTTTAGATGTTCCTCAGACTTACCCATCATCCAGCTAGAGAACCTTGGATGTTCTTCATATATCTTTAGGTTCTAGAGGTGTTTGGAGGTTCTTTAGACTTATTGCACCTAGAGAACTTTGGATGTTCTTCATATTTTTCTCTAGAGGGCTTTAAAAGTTCCTAAAATTTGCCCTAGGAGCAAGTAGAACACCTTGACATGTCCACTGTGCAGCTAGAGAATCCTGGAAAATCTTCAAATTTCTCTTTAGGTTTATAGTACCTTGGAGGTTCCTCAGACTCAGTTTTTATAGACTCTAGAGGACATTGAATGTTCTTCAAATTTGTCCATCATGCAGCAAGAGGAATGTTCTTCAGACCTGTCCCTAGGTGTTCTTCAGATTTCTCTTTACAGGTTCTGGAGGTCTTTGGTTGTTTCTCAGTATGGCCCATGGCAGAATTAAAAACGTATTTGGATAATTTTTTACAGAATGGTAATGTCTGCCCCAAACCTGCTGCGTGTGGGAACAGTAGAAAACATATTTGTAGAGTGTCAGGACTGTGCTGGACATGCACCCATGACTGTGACAATCTCTGTCTGGAACTTTCCAACAAAAAACACACAATTCAAGTCCACAACTGTGCAACTTGATGCGGCCAACAAATACCAAGCTCTTGCAGAACTTGTGGTAAAGAATAATTCATTTTCATGCATAATATCCTGACTTTTTATAAATCGTATTTCAAATACTTTTAATTGTTTAATTCCCCACTGTCAGATCCCCCCAAACAATTTTAACAAGGATCCTACAGTCAAACAATTCGTGTACCTACAAGCAGCGTTCCCAGGATACACTTTGGAGAAGGTGGTCTTAATCTCGTTTCAATCGGGATACTTGTTCATTCAAACAGACAAGACCCTGTACACCCCTGAAAGTACTGGTAACTGTGACAATTCTTTAAATTGTTTGAAAACTATTACACAGTATAATTTTCAAACTCCATATTATAAAAATATATTATTTTCTCAAAGTTAATTTCAGGATTTTTGCTCTGACACCGGGCATGAAACCAATAACGCAAGATGAGGCAACAGGTCAGCGTGTCTCTGTTGCTGTGGAGATTGTGGTATGTACTTTTGTATTCTTACTTAAAAGTGCTGTATGTAACTTTTTTTTGGTGGAGGGTCCACCACCTGCTTGTGTGCATGAAGATGTTATTGTACTGTAGTTATTGTCTAGCTTTGGCATATTCCACAACATGGCATTAAACCTATGTAGCTTGCACAAACCGTCCATGACAAGGCTTCGGAAGTTTGTAAATTCTATAACTGCAAAAGGGAATCAGACCTGTGTGACTGCAAACCTCTGTTCAAACTGGTTCCCTTCCCAAAACAAAATCCAAAACTCAGGGTGTTCTATTTCAGTCCAGCCATAGCAATAAACATGATCGTGTTTTGCAAAAAGCTTTCTTTTCTTGTGGCTACTCTCTGCAATCTCTGGTGGCACATCTTCAGGTTCAACATTTGCCATCACCCCCAAGCACGCACTTTCTTGTTCAACTGACTTTACAGCAACATCGTGTCCTGGTCGTTTTGCAGTGGAAGGTGTTTATTGGCGAACAGCTGGTGCCTTTCTCTTCAACTTTGACTTTTTACGTTCGTAACCAAGGTTAAGCGAGGGATCGGAATTTTGCTTTGTTGGCGCTCCACATATAAAATGTTCACGCAAACTTGGGATGATTTCTTAAGACGTGCTCACACCAAACACAAATGGCGAGAATAAATCATGTGAAACACCCCTACTTTACTGCTTGACTTTTTTGAGTCATTCGCTTCATCCGAGCATCCTGGTCGCTTGAGTTTGGGAATTTGGTGGCGGGCTGACCAGACCGGGACTGAGACGGGGGCTGAGACCGGGACCAGAGTGGGACCAGAGCGAGCTCCAAGCTTCGACTCCAAACCTTTGCGAGCTCGGAGCTGAGCAAACCGGGACCAGATCAGACCAGGACCAGACCAGGACTGAGACTGGGACCAGGCCGGTTCAGTCCTGGCTTAAACCTGGTTCAGTCCTGGTTTAGACCTGGTTTAGTACTGGATTAGTTCTGCTTCAGTCCTGGTTTAGTTCTGGTTCAGTCCGTATGCGGCGCAAAAGTCCGGCATCGCAGACCAGGACGAAGTCCAGGACCAGACCTGGACCCGGACTGAGACCGGGGTCATATAAATAAAGGAGAGTGGGACCTAGTGTAGAGCCCCTCCCTTTTGGGAATTAATGTGTCGCAAATTCGTGCTGCTCATTTCGCCTATTTGCGCCGCTCAAAATGTGCAAATCGCACCACTAAATTCACATCATTTGCACCGCAGAACTTTATTTGCATGTCAACGCGCCTTTACATTGACATGTAAATCGTTCGCCTTGTTCGCGCCATTCGTGTTTGGTGTGAGCACCTCTTTAGGCATCCAAAGGTTACCTTTTTTGTCCTTCCTGTCTATTAATACTGCCCATCGCCTTTGTCTTTCACTATTTTTCAATTCCGTTGGGAAGGGAAACAGTTTGAATGGAGGTTTGCAGTTACACCCATCTGATTCCCTTTTGCAATTATGGAGTTGAGTTTGCAAACTTCTGAAGTCTGTTTTCGGCTGTTAGGACATCCAACAACCACACAATTATGATGTCTGAATTCCATAATTAAAACATGACAATAACAGAACCAGAAACAAAAGCGATATGATTCAAGACTTGAAAATATTTACTTTGACAACAAACGCATCCCACTGGGAAATCAAACATGGAGGTTTGATGCTCACTTTTTCAGAGGATCCTTCCCAGTATGCATTGTGCTATGACCGGAAGTCCGAAATTCGGGATGCATGTATTGCTGTTGTATGTTGTTGTTGAATGCCCCCCTCCCAGTTCCAAAGTGTTCCTTTCAGTACTCACCTATTCTGACTGTGAAAGTTGTTGTTGTTTTCTTCAGACACCTGAGGACGTTGTCATCCCACTGGATCCTGTCTCACTAACTTCTGGGATGCACACTGGGTCATACAATCTTGGTGAACTAATCAGGTCAGTCATTATAATGGGGTTACATTAATTGGATTTCTTTGGCTACATATTTAATAGTTTTTGTAATTTATTCTGTGTCCATGGGTAGTGTTGGCCAATGGAAAATTGTGGCCCGCTTGCAAAGCAACCCCCAGGAAACTTACTCTGCAGAGTTTGAAGTAAAAAAATATGGTAATTTTCACATGAGCTCAAAAAGACATTGGGTATTTTAGACTAAGCACAGAGATATGTTTAATTTTTATTATTGTATTTTCAGTGCTGCCCAGTTATGAAGTGAAGCTGACATCTGAGAGTCCTTTCTACTATTATGACACTGAGTCTTTCAGAATCAACGTTAAAGCCACGTCAGTAGTCAAATAATTTTGTTAACATATAATGGCGAATCGTTTGGTCTTCAAATGCTGTTAGTTATTTGTGAATCATGGACCTCTTTATGGTTTTAGTTATTTGTTTGGAAAAGAAGTCGACGGCATGGCCTATGTTGTGTTTGGAGTCATGAAAGATGGAAATAGAAAAGTCTTCCCTTCCTCACTGCAAAGAATACCGGTGGGTGTAACATTTTTAGATGCTGCCAGTTACATTTTGTACTCCACAAATATGCTACATGAACCTTAAAAACCAGCCCAAACTCAGTGCTTGTAATGGATATAGCATTCGGAGTCCTAGAAGGGTCCACTTTTGGAGACCCACACCCGCCCCCACCTGCGCAGTACAGCAGCACACCCGCCCGCTAACCCGTGATTATTATCAAAGTTAACGGCACGGTGGCTGAGTGGCCAGCACTCATGCCTCACTGCAAGAAGGTTCCGGGTTCGATCCCTGGGTCGCCTGGGCCATTCTGTGTGGAATTTGCATGTTTCTCCCCGTGTCTGGATGGGTTTCTTCCGGGCGCTCCGGTTTCCCCCATCAAACCAAAACATACTACTACATAGATCTCCAGGAAGAATCACTCTTCACTTGCGTCTAAAAAGTGTGTGGAATTCGATTTGGTATGCATGCCAGGTTTCTGTGTACTGTATGTATGTGACGTAAACGCGTACACGACCTGAGCAGATCTGACCAGAGTTTTGTGTCTTGGGCAGTGTAGACGGAAACGCTACAGTGGAGCGTATTCAACTTTTCCAGGGTGGTTCAAGGGAGGGTGGTTTCAGGCTTTTGCGTTTTTAAGCCCCAAAAACATAGTCACCGTCTAAACAAAAGGCACTTCTAATAAAATATTTTGTCATTTTTACCTGCAAGCGTTTTCGTGTAAACAGGCCCTGAGCCAGAAGGACTAAAACAGGACTAAACCAGAACTGAACCAGGACTGACTATCACGATGGGCCCGGTGTTGTGCCCGTGTAGACCGTCGGGTGACCGCAGGTGAAAGGACCGGCACAGAGCTCTGCGCCCTGTTCCTGTTCTCCTTCTGTCTCAAGTCCAAGATTAGTCCTGGTTTAGACCTGATTTAGTCTTGATTTAGACCTGGTTTAGTCCTGACCCGCCCGTGTGTAATCACTACCTGCCCGCAAAATTCCAGAACGTTAAAACCCGCCCATTTCAGCAACTATTTGCAGGTACAGACTGGGTGCAGGACTCTGATAGCATTTGCATATGAAATAGCTGAGTAAACACATGGGTCCGGTCAAGCAGTAACGGAGGGAAACGGGCAGATTTTTTACATTCAAATGTCTCTTATTCAGAAACTAGAGGGACTATTGAAATAAGTAAAGTATCAGAATGTAGGAAAGAGTTAACACTCCAACAGGGTAAAGTTAAACCTGTGATATTCTTTCAAGTTGTTGACAAAAAATTTAAAAACTCATGTCGGTAACGGAGGGAATGAAATATGCAGCACTTTTTGGTCAATAAATCCAAACAGTGATAACTCTTGGTTCTCACTTACATATCCTTAACAAACTGGTTTGAATATTTGCTTCATATAGTTTTCTACCATATGGTACAAGATTAGGTTGAAAAACCTCTTACTTTTTGAGTAATGAGATTTTTTATTAAGAAAGGTCATGGAGGGAAAAGTAACGGAGGGAAAATTGTGCAAACAAGTAGAAGGTGCATGATTTTACATAATTTGTCACTTTTTTCTTCCGAATACTTTAATATTACTTCAAAATGAAAGGAAACTATTTCTATAAAATATGTCAGTCCTTCCAAGCAAATTTTTATCATTTTAAATGTTTTTATTTTTATTTTTTAAATCATGTATCTTCATCAACAGTTCAAAGATGGAATAACACAAGATATGATGAAATACATCCATTTATTTACATGATTTGCAGGTCTTTGAAATTTGGGAAATAATTTTTCTTCCATGTTTCATACATGGTCTGTTTAAAACGTATGTAAATTTAGAACCAAAAATGGTACAGAAAAAAGGTAAACAGTTTCATAAACTAGAGTACATATCTGTTGAATATATATTTTTATATCAGCTGCATTAACTTGAATTTTTGGCCTTGCTGTATACTTCTGCTTGACTGGGCCCATATACAAGAGGTGTCTGACCCTTTAGATTTCTGAGGGTAAGGGAGAGGCCACCCTGGAAAAGCAGCACATCCTCAATATTTTCCCAAACATCGACGATCTGGTTGGAGGATCTTTATTTGTGACAGCCATGGTGTACACAGAAAGCGGTGAGCCCAAAAGTCAAAATGTGCAAAAATGTTATGTTATTATGTGCCTAATTCCCTCTTATATTTACCGTGCCTTTCTTTCATGCAGGAAGTGAAATGGTTGAAGGAGAGTTAAGAAACATGCAAATTGTTAGAACACCGTACTTCATCAACTTTGATAAAACACCTAAATATTTCAAGGCCGGGATGTCATTTCCTGTCACGGTAACAACTTTGTACAGTATAAATCTCAATGTTTATACTTCTAAGCACATCTTTAACTTTAAGATGTTACTTGTAAATATCAGGTTACTGTTACTAACCCTGATAAGAGTCCAGCAGAGGGCGTCCCAGTCGTGGTGGAGCCCGGTACTGTCCACGGCACCACTCGTTCCAATGGCAGGACCACCCTCAGTGTCAACACCAGGGCAACTGATACAGTTCTGACCATCAGTGTACGTAAACATTGGGAACACGCTAGAATCATTAGGGGGTTTTCACTTCATTTAATTTCCATTTAATTTCCAAATAGATTAATTGTTATCAAATTTTAGGCAAAGACCAATGATAACCGCTTGCCCGCTGAAAGACAGAAAACAGCATCAATGGTGGCCAGACGTTATGAAACAACAAGCAGAAATTACATTCACATAAGTGAGTTTCAGCTGTTTTTCAAGATCAATGCCACATACCACTGTGGTACGGCATTATCAGACTGGGAAGTCAAGAGGGTTGAACTGTTTGTGGTTGCCAGTCACAGTAGCTCACTCAACAACAAATGAGTTTGTTGAGGCACAACTTTTGAATGGAGGGCTTTTTATTTGGTTGGCATTTTGTTTTGTTTTGTTTTTTGTGTAATATATTTTTTTCTTCTCTGTTGTAGCTGTATTGTCAACAGATGTTAGGTTAGGAACTGATCTTAATGTCCATCTAAGCTTAAATGGTGCAACCCAACAATTTGAAATTACATATCTGGTGAGTGACGTTTTAAAACTTAACATTTATTAATTCTTTCACAAGGAGATATGAAAATATAAATCCACCTATTTGTAGATCTTGAGTAGGGGCCAGCTGGTCGACTTTGGGAGACAACTTTCAGTTGGTCAAGTGACTCTTGCTGTAAATATCCCGGTTACCAAAAAAATGCTACCATCATTTCGCCTCATTGCGTACTACCATCCTACTCCCACTGAGGTGGTGTCCGACTCTGTTTGGGTAGATGTCGATGACTCTTGTATGGGCACGGTAAGGTACACCCAAAGACTACAACCTTATGTTTTTAGCATTCAAATAACTGAAAGTCCAGTGCCTTCTTATGAAATATGAAACTTAAGTTAACTTAACTTGTTTAAGGACTTAAACAAGTTTGAAACTGGACTAAGGTAGGACATGTGTAAGTTGTATTGTTTTCGTCCTTTACCTTCATATCAATAAGCTCATAGAAACTGTGGCATCAAATGTATTTAATAAGTGTATACTTTATACAGGTACTCTTCTATTTACCATACATACATGCAAGCCTCTACTACATAATCACATAATGATGGTCACAGCTAATAGTTCAGGAAATAAGATATTATGTAGTGCCAGAACACACTCATATAGGTTGATTGACTACCTTAAGATGGGCTTATAGTGTGCAATTTTTGGGCTGATTTTGGCACAAATCTTAACTTTAGCTTTTTAAATTGGGCCAAATTTAGGCTCCCCTATGGGTTAATCTTGTGCAGTGTCCATATGAAAAAATAGTGCTCACAAGAAAAGATGGTATCGCTTGGGACAACACACACTTGTCGAAAGCTTCATGTGAGTGTGTGCGTTTGAGAATTTTAATGTCTTAAAATATTACTAAATTGCACGGAGTAAGCCCTGCATTAGAAACAAACAATGAAATAAAGTTTTTAAATGAATTATGGTTTTGTTTTTCAGCTGAAGCTAGAACCAAAGAGACTGTTCCCGTCGTACGAGCCACGGAGGACATTTGAGATGACGGTCACTGGAGACCCGGGCGCCACCGTGGCAATGGTGGCTGTGGACAAAGGTGTTTACGTCCTGAACAACAAACACATCCTCACACAGAAAAAGGCAAGTTTTAATTTAAAATAGGGCTGGGTAAAAATAAAAAATATTAATCACATTAATCGCACTCAAACTTATGCGATTAATTGCATGTTATGCCGCTGTCACACCTTGACGATTTAGCCAGCGTATGCCGACGTATGAAAAATTGGGCAAATATGCTGATGTAAGTGGGATAAGTTCTAGGTATGTATTGTATTAGTTATGAGCACACTGAAGTACGCTGGCATACGACGACATACGGCAAGGTCGTCGAAAAATTTCGAGCATGCTGAAAATTTCTCGACGTATGTCAGCATATGTTTATACGTCCTGCATACGCGGGCCATAAGTTTTAGGTAAGTTATGCGATCGTTGACACACGTGGCAGTGTTTAGGAGAATCGGTATAAAAATGGAGAAGAAACCGTCAGTACTCCTCCAGACTTTGTGCTCCCATATATCATGAGCTGATGCAAAACACTTGATCAGAGAATACTTCAGCCATAGAGGATATCAGACAGTGGGAAAATGTCCTCACTGAGAGCCGTGGGAAACAGTCATTTACATTTTAAAAAAGAGCATCATGTAGGAGATCTGCGGAGAACACCATACAGCCTAAATAAATAACCAATCAATTCATTGTGCCAGCTCAATAAGAAGACTTTATTACTCACCCTGTATTAACCATAGAATTTGTCCTCTGCAAATAATGACACCCAGTCGACAAAACCGCGCTATTAATCCATTTGAGTCGTTCTTTGAAAGTAAAAAGGCGAGAGTTGCACGTGTGTTTGTTTATGTTCAGCACAGTGAAGCTGCAGATTAGCGATAGTGACTCTACTTCCTGTGTACTTTATCTCCAGTCTGTATGCTTTAAAAACCATGTATTTGAAGTATTGTACCTCATTTCACAAATAATAATACACAGTTTTGTCTTGTTTCTAAACTAGAAGTGCAGTGGTGAGTGGTTTTACTGCAGACAGGAAACAGCTGACGCCATCACGTTCACAACTTTAGAGCCTGTGATCTGCAGCCAGATCCCGCTGCTCTATAGGCGACCTACCGACCTATCAATCGATCTATTGCATTCAGCACCATGTACAGAGAGAGATTGATATGATGATATATCATATGATATGATTTAAATTGTCGAGTGGCAGTCTTTTAATAGGCGACGACACATGATCGTTGGTGATACGCTGCCGTGCGCTATGCATAGGTTAGACTGTCGTTAGGCATAAATTGTGGACGCTGGCAACACGCCAATAAGTAAGGTATAAGTTATCTATAAGTTATCAAAACATTCTATATAAGTTACTAAGTTAAGTTGGGGCGGCAGTAGCTCAGTTGGTAGAGCATTCGCCCACTGATCTGAAGGTTGGCCTTTCAAATCCAGCTCTCGACATAAACATCACAGGTTGAGCGTTCAGATCCACTGACCCACAGGTTGGCTGGTGTGATTCCAGCTCCCACAGATGAATGCTGCTGTTGTATCCTTGGGCAAGACACTTAACCCACCTTGCCCACAGTGTCTGCGTACACTGGTGTGTAAATGTGTGTGTGAATGAGTGAGTGGTTCCTTGTTTGTAAAGCGCTTCAAGTGCCTTGAAGGTGGAAAAGCGCTATAGAAAAATGTGACCATTTACCATTTACTAATATGCTATGTATATGTCCAACTTGTTATGAATACGATATGTATACACCCAAAACTGAAAAAAAACTTAGATGTTCTGCATTTTAGGGAAAATCTGGTACGTCGGCATACGCTGGCTAAATCATCAAGGCGTGACAGGGCCTTTATATGCAAAAACAATGAATTAAAAAGTAGAGTATAATGCACTTTTATTGGAAATGTAAACGAAAGTGCCACACATCTGTTGTGCAAACAGCATTTTTTATACATATGTTTATACTTATTTTTGGAATCTTACTCAAAAAAAGAACCAATTTCAGTGCAGTTTGTCAATTCCTAGAATTTAACATACTGAACTGAATTGAAAAGTAAAGTGCATGTGATCAGCTGCTGTAAAATAAAGTATTCAGTGTAAATCTCCACTGAAAAAATATAATCAAACCAAATACAACACTGAAATGTATTTGCCACTGCCAGAGCATGAATGTTTTCCTGTATGACAGAAAGATTCTCAGTCAAAAACAGTAACCAGAAAACAGAACACACAACCAGAAAACACTTTGAGTGCAGTTTGTCAATTCCTACAACTTTTTTTTTTTAAGAATGCGATCGCTGGCACAGGCTTCTCGCGGAGCTCTGACATTTTGCATCTTACGTGGTCGGCCGTAGCCTTGTTCCACTTGTTTCATTGAATGATTTGCATCAACAGAGGGTGTTGCATTTAGGTGGTATTTCAGACTCGTGAAATTCCAGTGATAAGACAGTTCAGTGTTGTAGTGTTACAAATAACTTTGGCTGTGTCGACTGTGCCGTCTGGAAGAACTTTAACATGAAAATGACCATGTAAAAGTTCCTTAACCTTCTCCATGTTTGTTTATCCCGCTTTCTTTCTCTCCATTTTCTATGAGCACTGCAGCAGTAAGCAATTCTTGGCTCGCTCGCAGTGGACTTTTTGCAAAATAAAAGCCAGTGAGCAACAGATGTTTACAATAAAAAATATATATATATTAAAAACTGCGTTAAAATAATTTAAAAATAAAGCGTTAATGTGCCCGGCCCTATTTTAAAGTCTTCTAAGCCACCATACCAACTTTATTTACAAAGAACTTTGAAAAAATTTCTGGCCAAAGTATTGCCCAGAAAAATACAATAAACAAACAGAAATCAGTCACAAAGCAGGATACAATGCAAATAAACAAAAAGAAACAAGTCACTCAAATGAATTAACTCTAGGGTATCTACAAAATCTTCTATAACACTTGTTAAAGGTCCTATATTACGGAAAACTGACTCATCTAAGCTTTTAGCCATGTTATAATGCTGTTACCTCCTACCTGCAGTGATGTTTTGATTCATTCACAAGTCTGAGTAATGCTGTGTTATTATGCTGTCCATAACTCAAAATGCTCTGTTCCATCTTGTGATGTCACAAATCAATAGCTTTCAAGTTAATAGCTACCGTTGACCTTTTATTCAGTAGAGATGAGGCTGAAATCATCGAAACAATTCTAGTGAAGACGTACTCACTGGTATCTTGTTCACAGTTTTGGTTCCGATACCTTTCTTCTTTGTTCAGGTGTGGGAGATTGTGGAGAAGGCAGACACCGGCTGCACTCCAGGTGGAGGAAGAAACAGCATGGGCGTGTTTTTTGATGCAGGGCTAATGTTTCAAACAAGCACAGCATCTGGGACTGACGCCAGACAAGGTAAAAAACCATTTAATCATGCCAAATCATTCTCCTAAATAATTGACTCAAGCTGTATTTTGTTAGAGGTGAAATGCTCTGCTCCTGCGAGGAAAAAGCGATCGAGCACTTTGGTTGATGTCATGACCACTATGGGTAAGAAGTAATTGTAAATTATTCTATGTTGTTTTGCATTGTTGATATGTCCACACCATAGACTGTGTATATAAATGGACATAGTTAACTAGCTGCCACATTCCAAATAGGAAATGCGCTTTCAGCTTCCTTGACTTCAATTCACTTTGTTGAGAAATCCTTTGTCTACTGCTGCAGAGACTGATCATTTTGATCTTAAAATGTTTATATTAACCCACTCTACATCCTGATGTTTTTATTTCACTATTTAATTAGTAAATCAAGATATGAAGATTAGTAACACACAAATCAGGACCAAACCAACAGGTTTGACCGACAGCGTTGCTAGGACCTAGCCAGTGTCTCGGCTCAATTTCATTTCTCTCCAGCGACTAGGTCAGGAATCGGAATACACTAGGTGGTTTGCAAAAACCCCTGAAGTGCGAGATTGGTCACCAGCCGATCAGTGAAGAGCCAGGCAACGATTCCCAAGATCGAAGATTTAAAGCCGAAACAAAGAGAATGTTTGGTGAATTTTATCAAGGGGAAAGATGTTATTGCCCTTCTTCCTACAGGATTTGGGAAAAGCTTAATATACCAGTTAGCCCCGTTAGCGGCGCATTACATATGGCACAACCAAATAGCAGTGATTGGTTAAATAAAAAAAAGTACTCGCCTACCGTCGAGTGAACGAATTCCAACGCCGCTGTTGTTTCCATCCATCCATCCATCCATCCATTTTCGTCCGCTTATCCGGGGCCGGGTCGCGGGGGGAGCAGCCCAAGCAGGACTCCCAGACTTCCTTCACCCAGACACGTCCTCCAGCTCCTCCGGGGACCCGAGGCGTTCCCAGGCCAGCGAGAGACATAGTCCCTCCAGCGTGTCCTGGGTCTTCCCGGGGCCTCCTCCCCGGCGGGACATGCCCGGAACACCTCCCGAGGGAGGCGCCCAGGAGGCATCCGGAACAGATGCCCGAGCCACCTCAACTGGCTCCTCTCGACGTGGAGGAGCAGCGGCTCTACTCCGAGCTCCTCCCGTGTGACTGAGCTCCTCACCCTATCTCTAAGGGAGCGCCCAGCCACCCTGCGGAGGAAACTCATTTCGAGCGCTTGTATCCGCGATCTCGTCCTTTCGGTCACTACCCAGAGCTCATGACCATAGGTGAGAGTAGGAACGAAGACTGACCGGTAAATCGAGAGCTTCGCCTTTCGACTCAGCTCCCTTTCAACAACGGTCCGATACAGCGACCGCATCACTGCCGAAGCTGCACCGATCCGCCTGTCAATCTCACGTTCCGTCCTTCCCTCACTCGTGAACAAGACCCCGAGATACTTGAACTCCTCCACTTGAGGCAAAGACTCCCCACCCACCCGGAGAGGGCAAGCCACCTTTTTCCGGTCGAGAACCATGGCCTCGGACTTGGAAGAGCTGATCTTCATCCCAGCCGCTTCACACTCGGCTGCAAACCGCCCCAGTGCACATTGCAGGTCCTGGTTCGATGAAGCCAACAGGACAACATCGTCCGCAAACAGCAGAGATGAAATCCTGTGGTCCCCAAACCGGACCCCCTCCGGCCCCTGACTGCGCCTAGAAATTCTGTCCATAAATACAATGAACAGAACCGGTGACAAAGGGCAGCCCTGGCGGAGTCCAACATGCACCGGGAACAGGTCTGACTTACTGCCGGCAATGCGAACACAGCTCCTGCTCCGGTCATACAGGGACCGGACAGCCCTTAGCAAAGGGCCCCGGACCCCATACTCCCAGAGCACCCCCCACAGGACGCCACGAGGGACACGGTCGAATGCCTTCTCCAGATCCACAAAAACACATGTGGACTGGTTGGGCAAACTCCCATGAACCCTCGAGCACCTATGGAGAGTGTGTAGAGCTGGTCCAGTGTTCCACGGCCAGGACGAAAACCACACTGCTCCTCCTGAATCCGAGGTTCGACTATCGGCCGGATTCTCCTCTCCAGTACCCTGGCATAGACCTTACCGGGAAGGCTGAGAAGTGTGATCCCCCTATAGTTGGAACACACCCTCCGGTCCCCCTTCTTATACAGAGGGACCACCACCCCGGTTTGCCAGTCCAGAGGTACTGTCCCCGACCGCCACGCGATGTTGAAGAGGCGTGTCAGCCAAGACAGCCCCACAACATCCAGAGACTTCAGGTACTCAGGACGGATCTCATCCAACCCGGAGCCTTGCCACCAAGGAGCTTGCCAACCACCTCAGTGACTTCGGCCAGGGTGATGGATGAGTCCGCCTCTGAGTCCCCAGCCTCGGCCTCCTCCTCGGAGGACGTGACGGTGGGATTGAGGAGATCCTCAAAGTATTCCTTCCACCGCCGGACAACGTCCCCAGTCGAGGTCAACAGCTCTCCCCCCGCACTGTAAACAGTGTTGGTGAAGAACTGCTTTCCCCTCCTGAGGCGCCGGACGGTTTGCCAGAATCTCTTTGAGGCCGTCCGATAGTCCTTCTCCATGGCCTCCCCGAACTCCTCCCAGCTCCGAGTTTTTGCCTCCGCGACCACACGGGCTGCAGCACGCTTGGGGCCCGCCGGTACCTGTCAGCTGCCTCAGGAGTCCCCCGAGCCAGCAAGGCCCGATAGGACTCCTTCTTCAGCTTGACAGCATCCCTTACTTCCGGTGTCCACCACCGGGTTCTGGGGTTGCCGCCGCGACAGGCACCACAGACCTTACGCCCACAGCTCCGAGCAGCTGCATTGACAATAGAGGCCGAGAATGAAGCCCACTCGGACTCCATATCTCCAGCCTCCCCCGGAATCCGGGAGAAGTCCTCCCGGAGGTGCGAGTTGAAGGTCCCTCTGACAGAGGGCTCCGCCAGACGTTCCCAACAGACCCTCACTACACGCTTTGGGTCTGCCAGGTCTTTCCGGCTTCCTCCTCCGCCAGCGAACCCAACTCACGACCAGGTGGTGATCAGTTGACAGCTCAGCCCCTCTCTTCACCGAGTGTCCAAGACACGTGGCCGGAGATCAGATGACACGACAACAAAGTCGATCATCGACCTCCGGCCTAGGTGTCCTGGTGCCACGTGCACTTATGGACACCCTTGTGCTCGAACATGGTGTTTGTTATGGACAAACTGTGACTAGCACAGCTGTTGTTTCCACGAAGTGAAACCAGCTATAATCACTAGTCACAGTGAGCATTATTTAACAGGAGCTAAATACTGTGGGTGACGTCACACTCCCTTAGTCCACTTCTGTATATGTTATATTTATATTCAGTCAAAGTTCTTTAAAAAGCACTTATGCATGATCTTAGCTGATCATAGTTAAATGGCTTATATAATGTTTTTGATTGATGGTATAATGTTTCCTCATCAAAACCAGGCCTGTTGTGTTTTGTTTCATTCATACATGTTTAACACACAACTCCTACATATTTAGGCTGAATTCTTCTCTCAAACAGAATACATGCCGACTTGTGCTGTCATATGGTAATACAGGAAGAGCTCCTTCACTAGAATCATTTGGATAATTTTCAAATCAGTCTCTACTGAATCAAGTGTAAAAGGTAGCTGTTAACTTGAAAACTACCACTACACGGCATCACAAGGTGGAACATTTTGAGCTTTGGAGATGTAGGCAGACTAACAATAAAGGATTACATGTGTAAATGGAACAAAACACAACTCCAGGTGTGTTTTTGAGGAGGTAACAGCATTATAACATGGCTTAAAGCTCACAGGAGCCAATTTTGTGTAATATATTTAATATTTTATTATTATTATTCATTGTTTTAAATTGCACCATACCATTGTAATTTGTTATCACATCACAGCTAGTGTATACAAGGACCCTCTGGAGCGTGACTGCTGTTTGGATGGCATGAAGCCCACCCACCTTTCGTACGACTGTGCAACGCGGAAACTCTACATCACCGATGGTGCTGCTTGTGAGAATGCCTTCCTGTACTGCTGTGAGGAGCTAGCCAAGCAACGCAGCGAACTCAAGCAGAACAACCTCATTCTGGCCCGCAGTAAGACACCACCTGTTTTTCTGTCAAATGTTTTCATATATGTAAATAAAAAATGTTTTTTCTCACCTTCAACGGTGGTTGGTCTCTCACCCTCATCCAGCTCGGGTCCTCTACCAGAGGCCTGGGAGCTTGAGAGTTCTGCACAGTATCTTTGCTGTTCCTAGTACTGCACTTTCCTGAACAGAGATGTCTGTTGTTTTTCCTGAGATCTGCTGTAGCCACTCCTCCAGTTTGGGGCTTACAGCCCCGAGTGCTCAGTGGCATCATGGGCACCACTGATGCTTTCCCTTTCCAGACCTTCTCCAGCTCTTCTTTGAGCCCTCAGTATTTCTCTAGGTTCTCATGTTCCTTCTTCCTGATATTGTCATCACTTGGTATTGCGATGTCCACCACCACGACTCTGTTAGTTATTCAGCGCCACTATGTCTGGTTGGTTCGCCATCACTGTTCTCTCTGTCTGTATTTGGATGTCCCACAGGATCTTGGCTCGGTCGTTCTCCACAACGTTTGGAGGTGTTTCCCACCTTGACCTTGGGGTCTCCAGCGTACACTATGCCCACCACTTGGTTATGCCAGCACCTTACACCTGCAGTTATGTGCTGGACTGTCTCAGGAGCCTCTTTGCACAGTCTTCACTGTGGGTCTTGTCTGGTGTGGTAGATCTGGGCCTCTATTGCTCGAGTGCCCAGGGCCTGCTCCTGAGCAATGCCTCTGTGCTGTCCTTCAGACCAGCCCTCTCAAGCCATTGGTAGGATTTCTTGATATCAGCCACTTCAGTAATGTTCCGGTGGTACGCCCCGTGTAGGGGCTTGTCCTGCTATGATGGTCCCTCCAGCACCTCTTCCTCTGGATCCTACTGTCTGAGACATTCTCTGAGCACCTCATCTGTCGGGGCTGTATCCTTGATGTACTCATGAAGGTTGGATGTTTTATCCTGGACAATGGTTCCCACACTCACTAGTCCTCAGCCTCCTTCCTTCCAGCTCGCGTACAGTCTCAGGGTGCTGGATTTGGGATGGACCGGTCCATGCATGGTCAGGAGCTTTCGTGTATTAACATCTGTGGTCTGTATCTCCTCCTTTGACCAGGTTATGATTCCTGCAGGGTATATGTTTGCAGTGTATTGCCTGGGCCTTGTTCTTGCCTTTGAGCTGGCTTCTTAGGACTTGCCTCACTCTTTACAGGTAGCTGCTTTCCTTGTTGCCTCTTGCCATTTGCTTGTGGGATACCAAGGTACTCGTAACTGTCCTCAACATCTGCTATTGTTCCGTCTGGGAGTGAGACCCCCTCTGTGTGTACTACCTTCCCTCTCGTCGTCATCATCCTACTACATTTCTCAAGTCCAAATGACATTGCAGTGTCTGTGCTGGAGATCCTGGTGGTGTGGATCAGTGAGTGGATGTTTCGCTCGCTCTTAGTGTACAGCTTGATGAAGGCCCTTAGAGTCCTGTTGATGTTGTACAGCTCCAAGCACTCAGTGATCCATGTGTGTGGTAGTGTGTCATAGACTTTCTTGTACTCAATTCAGGCAGTTCACAGGTTATTGGCCGATAGTTGGATGGACCTGTACATTTTGAGGGATCCTTCAGAATCAGGATCATACGTCCTTGGGTTAACCATTCAGGGTGAGTTTCATCCCTTAGCAGGTAGTTGATTTGTGCTGCCAGGCACTCGTGGAGAGCAGTGAGCTTCTTTAGTCAATATGTGTGGATCATGTCAGGGCCTAGTGCTGTCCTATTTGTCATGCTTGAGACTCTTTCCTGAATGTCTGCCACTGTGATGGTGACTGGATTCTGTTCAGGGAGGTTGCTGTGGTCTTCTCTCAGATCCACCAGCCACTGTGCATCAAAGTGATGCCTCCCTCTCCCATATGCCTTTCCAGTACCTTTCAGTCTCCAGCCTTGACTGGTCATTACTCTGCCATTGAGCGTTTGTTTGGTAGTTCTGAGTGCTTCAGATATGGGCATCGGCGCTTGCGGGGAGCGGTGTTGGCGCACATGAGGGCCAATCATTGCAGCTTGTGGCTGTATTTTCTGTTATTTCCTCCTCAAAACATACCTGGAGTTGTGTTTTGTTTCATTCACACATTTATTACACAAATGCTGCATATTTAGGCCGACTTTCTCTCTCAAAAACAAAACACTCTGTTTGTCATGTGGAAGAGGAAGTATTCCACTTTTTTTTTAAGCCCATACAGCTTCACTAGAATTATTTGGATAATTTCAGCCCTAGAATTACCATTCTCTACTGAAAAAAAAAGTACATGACATCACAAGGTGGAACAGAGAATTTGGGGCTTTGTAGATGTAGACAGACTAATAAAGCAAAATTTGTTAGGCACCACTGGGGTGGACCACAAAAAATGACTCAAACAGGGAGAGGACTAGAGACCAAAGGCTTTAATAGGGACACATGAAATGAGGGATGAATGTTCATAGATTTAGGCAACCTGAGGCACACAACTGATGGATTGATTATTTTTTCGATGGTGAATGGTCCAACAAACTTGGGAGCCAATTTACGAGACTCTACTTGAAGAGGCAAGTCTCGAGAGGAAAGCCAAACCTTTTGCCCTGGTTGGTAGGTGGGATATGGTACGTGGTGGCAATTGGCGCTCTCCTGGTTATGAACACTTGTGCGTTTGAGTGCTGCTTTAGCTGCCTTCCAAACATTACGGCAGCGTCGCAGATGGGCCTGGACAGAAGGGACTGCGACTTCTGTCTCCTGAGCAGGGAATAAAGGTGGTTGAAAGCCCAGAGACACCATAAAGGGTGACATACCTGTTTCAGATGACACCAAGGAATTGTGGGCGTACTCGACCCAAGGCAAAAAAGAACTCCCAGGTGGTGGGGTTACGGGCCGTGACACAGCGCAGTGCAGACTCCAGGTCCTGGTTAGCCCTCTCAGTTTGTCCATTAAATTGTGGGTGATAACCAGAGGAAAGGCTGACAGAAGTCCCCAGAGACAGACAAAAGGCCTTCCAAACCTGAGAGGAGAACTGGGGGCCTCTGTCAAACACAATGTCAGTGGGAATACTGTGAAGGCGAAACACATGCAGTACCAAGAGTTTAGCAGTTCCAGAGGATGAAGGTAATTTGGGGAGAGGAACAAAATGCACGGCTTTAGAAAAACGATCCACAATGGTTAGTATGGTGGTGTTACCTTCAGATGTGGGGAGACCCGTAACAAAGTCCACTGCTATATTTGACCAAAGCCGGCTGGGGATAGGCAGAGGATGGAGAAGACCAGCAGGGGGTAGGTGACTGGACTTGCTGCGAGCACACACAGGATAAGCAGAAACAAAGGCTCTGGTGTCACGAGACACAGAGGGCCACCAGAATCTTTGTCTGAGGAAAGCTAAAGTGCGATTAAAACCAGGATGACAAGTTAATTTGGAGGCATGCCCCCACTGGAGGACTTGGGAGCACACAGAGTCGGGGACAAACAAACAATTAGACGGACCAGTACCTGGGTCAGGTTGGGTTTGTTGGGCCTCCCAGACTACCTTCTCAATCTCCCAGCTAACGGCTCCAAGGAGGAAACTTGAAGTTGACGGCTTGACTGATGGCTTGTCAGTGATGCAAGATGGAGGTAGGATAGGAGCAGGTTGGGTTTCAGCCTCCTCAAAAGTGGACTGGCGGGACAGGGCATCAGGCTTAACATTCTGGGATCCAGGACGATAAGTTAGAACTAAATTAAATCTTCCGAGGAACAGCACCCATCGAGCCTGACGGGAGTTCAACCTTTTAGCCGAATGAAGATAAGAAAGATTTTTGTGGTCTGTCCACACGATAAAGGGGTACTTAGCTCCTTCCAGCCAGTGGCACCATTCTTGCAGGGCCAAAAAAAACGCCAGAAGTTCTCTGTTGCCAATGTCATAGTTGGCTTCTGCTGGTGTTAATCGCCGAGAGAAGTAAGCACATGGGTGAATTTTCTTATCCTTTGGACAATGCTGGGACAGGACAGCACCCACTCCAGAGTCTGAGGCATCAACTTCAACAATAAACTGTTTGGAAGGATCTGGGTGAGATAAAATAGGAGCAGTTACGAAAAGTTGTTTGAGTGTGGAAAAAGCCATTTCAGCCTCATCGGACCACTTGAAAGGGACTAGTGTGGAGGTCAAACAGGTATGCGGAGCTGCTTTCCTACTGTAATCTTTGATGAATCTCCTATAGAAATGGGCAAATCCCAGAAAACGCTGGAGTTGTTTACGTGTCTCAGGTCTGGACCCCTCCGCAACAGCTTTCACCTTAGCCTGAGTTAACCCTGCTCAATAACGAAACCAAGAAAACGAGCAGTGGTTGCATGAAATTTACACTTTTCAACTTTGCAGAACCTGCCTCACATGCTCCACATGTTCTTTAAGATCTCTAGAGTTTAATCCTTCTTATCCACAAAGAAAAAAAAACAACCCCTACTGGGTATGAGGAGGGCCGAATCAACCCAGCTGCCAGAGAGTCTTTAATGTACTGCTCCATAGTTTCTCTCTCAGGACGGGTAAGTTTATACAAACGACTAGAAGGCAAAGGAGCTCCAGGGAGTAAGTCAATAGCACAATCATAGGGGTGGTGAGGTGGAAGGGACGGTGCTTTCTCTTTACTAAATACTTGAGCCAAATCATGATATATGGTAGGAACAGCTGTCAAATCAGGAGGACAAGGTGGAGCGGAGTTTGAACTTTTACTCACCGTGACGGCTGACTTGAGGCAATGGGAGTGACCGTGAACACTCCAGCTGGTAACCTTATTGGCTGACCAGTCTATTTGTGGGTTGTGCAGCTTTAACCAAGGTAATCCCAAAACCACTGGAGCTTGAGGAGATGGAATGACCAATAACTGCATTTCCTCCCTGTGGTTGCCAGAAAGAATAAGGGTGACAGGCTTGGTGCGGTGAGTGATTTTGGCTAGGTGGCTTCCATTCAGTGCATTAACCTCTCTGGGAAACTCTAATGGTTCAGTAGGAGTATTCACTTGGAGAACAAGGTCGGAGTCAATAAAATTATCGTCGGCCCCAGAATCAACAAAACTATGGAATGAGAGTGACTCACGTAACCACAGCAAGGAGGTCTGGAGAAGAAGTCGGTCCGGAGAAAATGGCGTTGGAGAGGAAACATGGCTCACTAGGACCCCTCCATTCACAGGTGAGTCTGGTCTTTTGGCCGCAAGGGGCAAGTACTGATGTAATGTCCTTGTTGTCCACAGTAAATGCAAAGGTCAGACCTTTGTTGGCGTTGGCGTTGGGCTGGAGTTAGTCGGGCCCGACCCAGTTGCATAGGCTCCTTTGTGTCTGAAGGCTTGGAGTGGCTGGAAGGCATAGGAACATTTATTTGCACAGGTGAATGAGCAGGAGGTGAGCATGTAATGTAGACTGACGTGAGCCTTTTTCCCTGCGTCTTTCTCTGAGTCTGTTATCAAGACGTATGGCCAAAGAGATTACCTCCTCGAGACTGTTGGTCTCATCTTGGGTGGCAAGCTCATCTTTCACATTTTCTGTGAGTCCTCTTAAAAATACACTGTAGGGCAGTGTCATCCCAACCACTTTCATGAGCTAAGATTCGGAAATCTATAGCATACTGAGCAACTGAGGCGGATCCTTGGTTAAGTGCTAACAGTCTCTTAGCAGCTTCTTTTCCCTTTAATGGGTGATCAGACTGTTTTTTCATTTCATTAGAAAAGGCAGAGAAGCACCGAAAAATTTCAGAATTACTGTCCCATGCCGCTGTTGCCCACTGAGATGCTTTACCAGTTAATAAACTTATAACAAAAGCAATGTGTGACTTATCTGAAGCGTAGGTGAGGGGCTGTTGATCGAACACCAGGGAACACTGGAGGAGAAACCGACCACAGGCACCAAGATCGCCAGCATATCGCTCAGGAGTGGGAATATGAGGTTCACGTTGAGCCACGGCAGGTAGAGCTGGAGGTGGTGGAGAAGAACTAGGAAGGACATTGGCTGGTGGCGGAGCAGCAGCAAACTGGGGGGAACGCAGTAGTGAGGTCAGCCAACATGGTCCTAGTTTGGTTCATCTGAGAGGCAAAAGCTTGCTGGTTGCCAACAATTTCTTTGAGTTGATTGTCGTGCTTCCCCAATAATTGACCTTGATTGGAGACAGCTTGAAACAAAGGGTTAGGTTCTGCTTGAGTCAGAGGACTTGGATCCAGGAGGTTTGAGTCTGTTGGGTCCATGTTTTGGCCAGATTGTTCTATTAGGCACCACAGGGTGGACCACAAAAAAATACTCAAACAGGGACAAAAATGCTAAAGAGGAGCCAGCAGCCGGGATGCAGGAGTCTTCAATGGTGGGAACTAGGAGTACAAAAATGCAGGTAAGTATACAGAAAGTGAGGGAAAATCAAAAACTGAGCCGACAGAAAAATCACCATCAGGTAGACGAAACAATCTGGCAGAGTCTGGCAGGAGAGAGGGGCCTTTGTAGAAGGCTTGATTGGAGATGGTGACTCTGCCCATGTCCACACACAGCAAAGACTCAGGTCAGGCAGGGGCGTGACAAAATTACTCTTGTGAATAAAACAAAACACAATGCCAGGTATGATTCAGACTTATTTAGTTAAGTGGTTAGGGTTAGGAGTTAGGGTATTAATTAAGGCTTTAATAAGGAGTTGGGTTTAGCAGCTATGGTTAGGGTATTAATTAAGGAGTGACTAAGCCTGAATTCTTCTCGATGAACTATTTGTTCAGTTATGAATTAAGACTATATTCATACTTTATTAAGGCTAATACGGTTTAGTGATCATAAAGTGTTGCCATTGTATTTTTAATTAAATTCAATATCTATAGGTGAGAGTGACGACAGTTACATGGACAGCAATGAAATTCTTTCTCGGACAAAATTTCCAGAAAGTTGGGAGTGGGTTACCTTCAAAATTCCTCAGTGTGCTGGGAAACAAACTTGGTAAGATAGGCAAATAAATATTAAGTTTCACTCATAATAATAATAATAATGGATCCAATCACTGAGTCAAACTTTGTCTTAATGGTCTGTTTTTAGTGAAATTGACAGGCGCATTCCCTTAAAAGACTCCATCACAACTTGGGTGTTTACTGGCATTAGTCTATCTGAAAATACTGGTAAGAGAGATTTATTTGTACATATGTGTCAAATATTTCTAAAGTAAACTAATCATATTTTTATGTTTGATTTTTTTAGGTATCTGTGTTGGAAAGCCTTTGGATGTTATTGTATTTAAACCGTTTTTCTTAGACCTCAAACTTCCTTATTCTGCCGTGGTTGGAGAACAAATTGAAATTAGAACGATTATACATAACTACCTTCAGGATCCTATCACTGTAAGGTTATACATCATATACACACACACACACACACATATATATATATATATATATATATATATATATATATATATATATATATATATATATATATATATATATATATATATATATATATTCATTTGCTTTGGCACAATTTCTGAAACTTTGTAAATCTGGCAAATCTTTTGCACACTTTGCAAAACTATTAACAGGCACAAAACAAATTAGAATATTTGAAAAAAGTTAATTTTGTGAACTAAATGTACAATACACTTATTACTTTGTGGTTCAAAAATAAGCACAGTCATCAGAGTTATAGACTAATGACACATTTAGACATGTAATGTGAGGCAGTCCTGCATGACCAGTATCACGCTGTTTCTGTTGGTTTGAGAGTCAGAGTGAGTCTGTTGGTTCCAAATTTGTGTTTTTTAGCAGTTGGTGTCTGAACTGTGTCAGACCTGGACTTCAAAGTCTCTCAATAAAAATAAAAAAACAATTCACACAGATTTTCACTTTAGAAGTCTTTTGCGGTGTATTTCTAGTACTTTTATCCCTCTCTAAAATGCCTTCATTGTGATTCTGTGTGTTCAGTTTTGTCCTTCGAGAATATGGTCTTTGGTAATGTGTTATAACTACAATATGTGTTTAAGTAACTGATCATAGTGTTTTAGGTTGTGCAAAAAATGTTTTGGAGTTTTGATCAGAGTTAAATCTTGAAAATGTACATTTGAGTAGTTGCTACTTGAGTGACAAGTTTTTGAATTTGTGTTGAAATTTAGATTTTAGTGTAAAAAACAAACAAACACAAATACAACAAATTCATACGAGTGACTTTCATATTTGCTTTATTCTGTAGGTGCGTATTGAACTCATCGAACACCCAGATGTTTGTAGTGCAGCATCAAAGCGGGGCAAATATGTGCAGGAGGTTAAAGTGGGAGTCTCTACCACTCGCGCAGTGTTCTTTACTATTATTCCCATGAAAGAAGGTCAATTAAACATTGAAGTTAAAGGCGCGGTGAAAGACTCATGGCACAGTGACGGAGTTGTGAAGCAATTACTGGTTGTGGTAAGAACATAATGTCAACAGGGTGTTGCATGCTGTTGTATTTAAACCGTTTTTCTTTACCTTCCTTAATCTTGCCTTCTATTAAGTTTAATTGTCCTTCTTTTTCAGCCAAATGGTGTTCTGACTAAAGTACATAAGATTGTTGACATAAACCCACAAGGTGACTTTATAGCGGAAATGATAATTATTATGTGTTAATTAAGTGTCTCATCTAATTTGTCCCTTACAGGTCGCACACAAGAAGAAACGATCAACAATCCAATTGATAAAACTGAAATGGTTCCACATACTCCATCAAGTGCCAAAGTTTTTGTGTCAGGTACTATTATAAATCATTTGCAATTAAGACAGTTTGTTTCATAATCCTGGCACAGCGCAACAACTAAGACATATTCTAAATGATAATGATATATATATATATATATTTAGAATATGTCTCTCTCTGTGTGTGTGTGTGTGTGTGTGTGTGTATATATATATTACATTTCATGAATTAGTACACTTTTCCCTGTGTCCTCAGGCAGGGAGCAGATGAATGCCCTGGTGGACAATGTCCTTGGTGTATCATCCACCATGGGCAACCTGATCACTCAGCCCTCTGGCTGTGGGGAGCAGAACTTGAACAGAATGGCTAATCCTGTCATTGCCACAACATATTTGGACAAAACCAATCAATGGGCAGCAGTGGGTGTGGACAATCGTAAAAAGGCTCTCGACTATATTAAAACTGGTGTGTATCGTTAGTAGCACAAAACTTAAAATATTAAAGGAAATGTATTTCAAATATGGATTTTAAATATCAGACGTGTGACTTTTCTTTGCCCCCAGATAAAAGGTAAACATATTCAAATCAAATAGAGTTCTACATGGTAACAATGGCAAAGTCGATTTATTCTCAACAACAAAAACATTGGACATGATAGCCAAGTTGTTTGCTTTTATTTGTTTTATGGTTTGTTTTGGTTCTCAAGAACCAAAACAATTAGAAAGCAGAATGAGTCTCCCATTTGGGTTTCCAGGTTCAATGCTGAAATCCAGTTTATCAAAACATAAAAGGTTCAGTTGTAAGAGTACAAGCTATTTACAGCTCCTTTAAACTGAAATTGCATTACCATCTAAGGTATGTTGTAACTGTAAGTTGTTTTCAGGCTACCAAAATGAAATGGAATATGCTAAAAGTGACGGATCCTTTGCTGTATATAGAGGTTATGAAAGCAGCACATGGTAAAACATGAACAATCCTTTCAGAACTGGCAAACTAAAAGTAATCTCCTGACATTAACTGTTATCTGTTGTCTGTAAGGTTGACTGCCTTTGTAGTCAAAGTATTTTCCATGGCCTACAATCTAGTGTATATAGACAGCAATGTAATCTGTAGAGCAACACAATGGCTGATCTTGAACTCGCAGAGGCCTGACGGCATGTTCACAGATGTTGGATTTCTCTTCCACAGACACTTTACAGTAGTAAGTATCACTGAATCAGTCCTGCATTCAAAAATACCCCACAGGCTTCTTCTGCTGCAATATGCTGCTCTTGATAACATCCAATGTATTTTAGAACTCCTTTTTATATTTAATGAAAAATGTACAATAATGTCCTTATTAGCACACTTTCCCAGTTGCCTCTCACAGTGAATCTTCTTATAGGGCTCTCTGTCAAAAGATAATGATGTCGCCATGACGGCTTTCTGTCTCATTGCGCTGCAGGAGTCCAGACCAATATGTGGTGGCAGAGTAAATGTGAGTTTGGTTGTATCTTCTGTCTTGTTCTCTGGCTGTTCTTTTTATGAATTTTTGTTGTACTTCTTTTGTGCAGAGTTTATCTAACGCTATATCCAAGTCTGTGGCATACTTGGAGCGGCGCCTTCCGCATCTCATCAACCCGTATACAGTCGCCATTACATCATATGCTCTGGCCAATGAAAACAGGCTTAATTATCAGATTCTATACAGATTTGCTTCTCCAGGTTGGAACATTTTATGCATTATTTATGGTAATTATGTTATAATAACCCTTAATGAATCACTTTTTATAGACAGGACCCACTGGATCTCACCTCAGGGACACACTTACTCACAGGAGGCAACTGCTTATGCTCTTTTGGCTCTTGTCAGACGCGGAGTGAGTCTTATTATTACTTTATAAAGTCATTTTAAAAGAAAACATCATAGCTTTTAAGGCCTTATATTACACAAAATTGACTATTGTGATTTCAATTTGAGAGAAGAACTCATTTGTTTATTTTTTACATTTTTATTTATTTGACATTGCACAATAAATTTAGCTTCAAAATTTAGCTACAAGATTTAGTTATTGTTCACGTGTGGTCCCTGGGTAGAAGCAGAGCGACAGCAGGTCCACAGTGTGCAGGTGCTGCACAGAACGGCCTGTGTAAAAGTCGAGCTAAAAACAAACCCCAACAACCCATCAGGTCATCAGTACTTCAAATACACATTTACAGATTGAAATATTTACATATACACATTATTGCTAGAGACAGCAGTTATCACGATAACTTTGGCTGTGGTTGTTCGATTGCCATGAAAGTTTGCCCGGACCTGTTTTTTTTACAGGTTTTTAGACATATGTGAGTTTCATCCCAATTTTGGCAACATCAGTCTCAGGTAACTGAGCGTGTTTCAGAACTAAGTGTGTCACTAAGCTGTGGTAGTGAAAGTATGGACCTGGGATTGCAGTTTAGGTTACTGATTAAATTAATGGAAACACAGTTTTGGGGCAAAAAATAAACCAGCTGGTGAATTCAGCATCAAAAAACAAAGTAAAGGACAGCAGGGACAATGGCTAACTGTAAAACACAAAGAACCAAAATTACAAAAAACAAATAGGATTAGGACGACATTCTCAAATAATGTTGCATTTTAGGCCTACTTCTTAACTAACTAAAAAGTATAATGTATTGTTTCAGTGCTGATAGTGAAATCTGGAAAAAAGCTGGATCAAATATCATCGCCTAAATATTAAAATGATATACTGGTTGTAGTTGTATCAGAAAAACTCAGTGTTTGAATTTCTATTTGCACAATAGTTACTGTTGTTCTGTACTTACTTAATAATACATATGGAACAGTTTGGTCTTATTTTATTTTTGTTTTAAGGAAATTAATGCTGTTTATTTGTCACTCTGGTTTTATTGGTTGATATCAGAAATTTATCAGATATCAGATTTTTATTTCCATAGTATTAGAATTGTTATCAGAACTGAAAAAGTTGGATCCCTAGTAACTTGCTGTTTGAAGATGTACATTTAAGTTTGTGTGTTAAACGTGTGAATGAAACAAAACACAACTCCAGGTATGATTCTGATGAGGAAACAACATTATAACATTAATCAGAAACTAGTATGATAGGAGCCCTTTAAGAAGAAATGCACATCTATGAATAACTAGCTGGTTACATTATACTTTTTTTAGTTCTAACAAATTAAATAAGTAAGTCTAAAATGTATGACTTATTATTATAAGTATATTATAGTATACTATATATTTAATCCATTGTTGATAAAAGACATAAACTTGTGTGACTTTTATATTTCAAAAACAGTATCTACAGGACGCTCGACCCATTGTGAGATGGTTCAAAAAACAGCAGGAGTCAGGTGGTGGATATGGATCAACACAGGTACATATGTATATAAATACATGACATTTACTATATTTGAATCATTAACTTTTTTTATAAAATAGCTATTTAAAATTCTAAAATGTTTTCTTCATCCCAGGCCACGGTGATGGTGTACCAGGCACTGTCATCGTACTGGACTGTGGCTCAAGAACCAGACTATAACCTGGATGTGGAGCTGAAGGTCTCAGGACGTGCTGCTCCTTACAGTTTCAGATTCTCCAGAGACAACCAGCACACCACCAGGACATCTAAGGTCTTTGCACACGGTCTGAGAAGCAGCGTCATGTGAGATTGTGTCTGATCTTTGTGTCATGTTTAAACCCCGAAACAGAACTTTGCAGTTGATGAAAATGTGAAACTGATTGCCAAAGGCACAGGAGAAGCAACTCTGATCGTAAAACACCTAAACTTTAAACCATCTCCTTTTGTCCAAATGTTTGTCCTCACTAAATGTGTATTGTGTTACAGCTGCTCACACAGTATTATGCTGTTCCCAAAGAAACTGTGAGTGACTGTACAAAGTTCAACCTCACACTGAACTTCGGTAAATTTGTTTTTTTCTCTTATTACAATACATTATTATTACATATTACAATACAAAGACTGTTACTAATCACATCTGTTTTGTTTCAGAAAAGGATGATGACAGGGACAAAGATATTTACAAGCTGACAATTGAATTTTTGTAAGTAAAAGTTTGACAAAATATTTCACAGGATCATTCACGAACAAATTTGTACTTCAGCTTTTCTAACAAACTTTTTGGCATTCACAAAATGTTTTTTTTACTGAAAATGTTCTTTTGGAAAAACAAATCCTATAAACAATCAGAAGCACTCGTAAGAACAAAAATTCTACTTCCGGGGTTTTTTGCAAACCATCTAGTGTATTCAGATTCCTGACCTAGTCACTAGAGAGAAATTAAAATGAGTGGTGACACAAGGTGGCGCCAGCCTGGCTAGGTTCAAACACCAACTATGAGGAAAACAGCTGTAGAGGATGAAAGATGTACCATGAATCAGGTCCCACCAGGTCTACCAGTGTTGCCTCCTGGGTTATCCTTTCTGGAAACTTGGGTTTACCAAACCCTGAGCCATACCTGTCATTGGAATGCTATGGGTCATGTCACACTCACTTACTCCACTTTTTTTTTATACAGACAGTGATCACTACAGAAAGAGAACAAACTTTAAGTCTCTCATTTCATCTTTGGCCTTTGTGGACATTGGATAATTATGAAAAAAACAAAAAACAAACAAACAAAAAAACACTCAAAATCTTGAAAAAATTGTCATATCTTAGAAAGTTATGAAGATAGAGATATAACATTGGTACCAAAAGATGCGGAATAGCAACATTTATATTCAACTTTCATTGACACCATGGCCCTAAATGCATTATTTTAAAGTTATTTGAGAAAAACTGATTTTTCTGCAACAGCCTTATGGACACCATTAGGATAGAACTTAAGAGTCTCGGTGAACCCAGTAGATTTTATTCAATTGACCTAATATTCCACAAATGTTCTTTTATTTGGTATTGTTTGTGAATTTGGAGCAACTGTCACTTAAGAACATTTTGTGAATCTGGCACAGATTTCTCCCAGCACCTTTTTAAAGTGATTCATGAATGAGGCCCATTTTGTTTTGTTGTTTTGTTTTATAGCTTCAAGAATGAAGAAGAAGATGCGTCTATGTCGATCTTGGATATTTCTTTACCCACTGGCTTTATGCCTGTACAAAGAGATTTAGATGCTGTAAGGTTTCAGTAGTTTTGTCCACTCTTTATTTAACTGTACTAATGTTTGATAACAGCTGTCTGTGTCCTGTGTAATTGTAGTTGTCTGAAGGCCGAGCTCGTGTCATCGCCCAGTGGGAGTTCAACAAGGCTCTGTCAGAGAAGGGCTCCCTCATTCTCTACATGAACAAGGTCTTTGTGTTTACAGTGTTTACGTGCACACCAAATATCTCATTATTATCTGATTTCTGGAGAATACTGAAATGTCATATAAACAGTTACATCTTATTTCTTATAAATTTCTTATAAAGGGACAGTAGTTGGCTCCCTGGCTCACACACTGAGTAGTTTTTGAAACTTATTGGTTTTTGAGCTCAGTTTTTAACATAATTTCATGGGATTTTAACCAACTAAGAAGTGCAGCATGTGCAGTTCAAAGGACACAAGTAAGTGTCTGCTGGATTATATGAAATAAGATGTTAGTTTTTCCTGTATTCATGGAGCTAGCTAAGGAGGTAGCTATAGATCTCTGAGATTTTTATTTTTATTTTTTTACACCAAATATGGCAGAAGACCTTCCAAAACAAATAGTCTGAGACCTTCTAGAGGAAACATTTTGAAGGAATTTAGCATTTAATCAGACCACCACAACAGAGCAAAGGAAGAGTGAGGCTTTCCTGTTCATCTGGCTTCCCCCTAAACACTGACTGTGATGCTGCAGGACACAGAGGAGGGACACTTTTGTCCAGAGGACTGTTGCTCACCTCAAACTGCCCTGACACAGGATCTGCTGACCTACCTAACCAGTCCTCCTGTTAAAGTGCACTGACACCTTTGACTGAGACACAAAGTCGACAGAAAAGTAGAGTGTGTTGGTGCAGCTTGAATTTCCCTCTGCATTTAAAATGTGAATAAAGCAACAAACACACAAAAGCAAATGCACCACAACAACACATTAAGTTTTAGCAAGGACAATTATGCAAAACAGGCAGACTTATGTGGCGCAAATGAAAGCGAAAATGAAAGAAATCTTCAAGATTGAAAAATGTTTAAATACATTGTGCTTTAGTCCAATGAGATTCATTTGGTATTCCAATATTTTATGCTATAAAGTTCTTTTTTTCAGACCTTTTTTCAGACGGTCTGAAAAAAGAACCTAATAACATACATTGTGCTTTGTCTTCTAAATACAACATTTATTTTATCCATTGATTACCTGACAGATGTCGAGATGAACAGACTTCTTTTGTTCATGTTAACACACATGCCCATTCAGTCTAGTCAGATTTGACTGGCTGTAAATGTGCCCAGAGTACACTGTCTGTTTCTGATGGGACATTTGCTCTTTCCACAGGTTTCTCACAATCGAACTGAGATGCTGCCCATCAGAATGGAAAAGACTTTCGAAGTGGGCGTTTTACAGCCTGCCTCTGTGTCTATATATGAATACTATGATGGTAAATATGGATGTTCCTTTACACTTACAAATGATACAAAAGACTGACATTGTAAATGTTTTACAGAAACAAAATGTGTAAAGTATTATCATCCACAACGGAAAGATGGTCAGATCTTGAGGCGCTGCAAAGGCGATGAATGCCAATGTGCTGAAGGTATAAATGAAACACTAAACTTAAAACAGCTCTGGATAACATTATGTAATATGCATTTTTACTGGGTAAATAGTATTCACCTGATTATAAATGTGTTTATTATTTTGTACGCAGTAAACTGTAGCATGCAAAAGAAGGGCAATATCAACAACAGGGACCGCATTGGAAAGGCCTGTGAATCTACTCTGACCAGCAGGATTGATTATGGTCAGTAAATGTTATTCTGCTTCTTAACAGAGGAGAAAAATACAAAAAAAAACATTTTTGTTTTCTCCTTAGTGTACACTGCCGTTCTGGAAGAAGCACAGTACCATGTTTCCTTTGACACCTACATCATGCGAATTGAGAGAGTCATCAAAGAGGGTTTGTCTTTCAATACTATTATCTAATTCTAAATGTCAGATCAGATTTACTTGATTCAGAGTCTGTGTTTGTCTATACACTGTTATTTGCAGGATCAAATGACAAGAATGCTGAAGGTAACCTGCGCAGTTTCCTCAGTTTCCCGCACTGTAGAGAGAGTTTAGATCTACAGGTAAATAAAGGATACCTTATAATGGGAACAGACGAGGACACACTGCACAATGCAAAGAGTCAGACGTAAGTTTTTTTTTTGTTTCTTTTTTCAAAGTAAACACTTAAATAATTTCTTTAAAGTAAATAATTGTTACCAGCTGGATCAATAAAAAGTTTCTGTTGTAAACTGTATTTTAGATTTGAGTATTTGCTTGGTGAAAGGACGTGGATTGAGCACTCGCCCAGAGGAGAAGAGTGCCAAATGGAAGAATACAGACCCACCTGTTTCGGCATAGAATCCCTTATTGAGAAGTATGAGTCACATGGCTGTTTTAATAAGTAAGATTAATGTCTGATGTGTTTCTGTAAGTCAGTACAATACAAGGAACAATAAGCATATTATATACAATAAAATACATGGTTGCTTGCATTGTAACACAGTGATCAATGTGAAAATCAATATATTAAAAGAAGTTAAGTTCAGTTAGAAATTGGTGTACTGTGGCTTTTATAAACGACTGCAAATATATGTGCTGTTTGGAATCATCTTGAATGTGGCTCCTCATCTCTTCTAATCACATATACAGGTCTGGTTTAGTCCTAATTCAGTCCTGTTTTAGTCTTGGTTTAGTCCTGGTTCAGTCCTGGTTCAGTCCTGGTTTAGTCCTGTTTTAGCCTTGGTTCAGTCCTGGTTCAGTCCTGGTTTAGTCCTGGTTTAGTCCTGTTTTAGTCCTGTTTTAGTCCTGGTTCAGTCCTGGTTCAGTCCTGTTTTAGTCCTGGTTCAGTCCTGGTTTAGTCCTGGTTTAGTCCTGGTTTAGTCCTGGTTCAGTCCTGTTTTAGTCCTGGTTTAGTCCTGTTTTAGTCCTGGTTCAGTCCTGGTTTAGTCCTGGTTTAGTCCTGGTTCAGTCCTGTTTTAGTCCTGGTTTAGTCCTGTTTTAGTCCTGGTTCAGTCCTGGTTTAGTCCTGGTTTAGTCCTGGTTTAGTCCTGGTTCAGTCCTGTTTTAGTCCTGGTTTAGTCCTGTTTTAGTCCTGGTTCAGTCCTGGTTTAGTCCTGTTTTAGTCCTGGTTTAGTCCTGTTTTAGTCCTGGTTCAGTCCTGGTTTAGTCCTGGTTTAGTCCTGGTTCAGTCCTGGTTTTAGTCCTGGTTTAGTCCTGGTTCAGTCCTGGTTTAGTCCTGTTTTAGTCCTGGTTTAGTCCTGTTTTAGTCCTGGTTTAGTCCTGGTTCAGTCCTGGTTTAGTCCTGGTTCAGTCCTGGTTCAGTCCTGGTTTAGTCCTGTTTTAGTCCTGGTTCAGTCCTGTTTTAGTCCTGGTTCAGTCCTGGTTCAGTCCTGGTTTAGTCCTGGTTTCAGTCCTGGTTTAGTCCTGTTTTAGTCCTGGTTCAGTCCTGTTTTAGTCCTGGTTTAGTCCTGGTTCAGTCCTGGTTCAGTCCTGGTTCAGTCCTGTTTTAGTCCTGGTTTAGTCCTGGTTCAGTCCTGTTTTAGCCTTGGTTCAGTCCTGGTTTAGTTCTGTTTTAGTCCTGGTTTAGTCCTGGTTCAGTCCTGGTTTAGTCCTGGTTCAGTCCTGATTTAGACCTGGTTTAGTCCTGTTTTAGTCCTGGTTCTGGTCTCTATGGAAGAGTACTGCAGATATCATGAGCCTATGCAGGTTGTTTCCACCATTGCCAATATCTCCAGTTTGACATTTAAGTTGAAGGATTTTTTTATATTTATTTTTTTATATTTCACGTCGGGAGAAGTGGGTGGACGTGGGTGGACGTACGCCGTAACCCCTGCGTAAATCCCTCGCCCACTACGCCCCTGCTCAACAGATCAATGCATTTTAACAGACCAACTGAGATATTGACAGCTGGAGTCGATAATAAGGACTGACAGATGTATGGATAGTGAGTGATGTGCTGATGCGCCGTCCCCGTATCAGGTGAAAGGAGAGTCCTACAGCGTTCAATTAACCCCGTGTGATCTCTGAAGGTCACAGGCCGCAACGATTCTCAGCTCCGGCGAGTAATGATTTTCTCTGTTGATATCTGGCTCAAGTTCATCAAAGTGCATGACAGGTTTTCATGCGTTTTCTAACATGAAATAAAACCCGTGGTAAATATTTATCACAGTTTTATATAAGTTTGTGGGAAATAAACAGCTGAAAAGAAAAGTACAGGAAGTCGCTGTGAGTTCCTCCACTTACTTTAGTTTTTGGACTAAAAGTCGCGCTTTTCATGGTTTGAGTGCTTCCTGCGATTTATATATTAAAATTTTCTCTAGTCTTGTGTATCAGTATCTGCTGCTCCTGTTACTTCCTGTACCACTGTCACTTGGCTCTACTGCGCATGTCCATCCATCCATTTTCTTCCGCTTATCCGGGGCCGGGTTGAGGGGGCAGCAGTCTAAGCAGGGACTCCCAGACTTCCTTCACCCCAGCTCCTCCAGGGCGACCTCGAGGGTTAGGGTTAGGCCAGCCAAGAGACATAGCCCCTCCAGTGTTGTTACGACCCGAAGGGCAACGTATTTAAAAAAGGACACAGGAGTCAAAATATAGCTCTTTAATTTCTTTTATTTGTAGTTGTTTTTTAAAGAAATTTAAAAACCCTCCCGTGCCCCACAAAAAATAATGAAAAGTAATGAACAGAAAGGTGGACTTGGCGAACCGGCCAAACAGAATAAAAAGGTGCGACACCGGGCCAACCTCGTACAGGGCCGTAGAAGCCGGTGCCAGCGCTTGTAACTAAAGATGAGAAAAACCCCAAACAAACCTGAACCCAAAAGAAAAGTGAAAACAGGGTCAAAACAAAAGGCTAATGGTTAAAGGTTGTATAGAGGATTTTCCAAGGAACGAGAAATCCAGCGACTGTTTGTCCTTTTTCAAATGTTGCGCATGCGTGAAACCACCCCCCCTCCCCTACAGCTCCTACGTAGAAACGCCTTCTCCCGCCTCCTCACTACGCCAGAAACAGGTTTGTTTACAGCCGGTGAGCTGCACATGACTTGTAAACAACTAACTACAGTGTTGGTTAGGCAAGACGGAGAAGTGAGGAGCGGGGGAGCGGTGTGCGCGGACATTTCGTTCGCGGACGAGAAGTGAGGAGCAGGGAGAAGAGCGGAGCAGGGAGCAGGGAGAGGAGAGAGGAGAGGGGAGCGGTGCGCGGAGATTCCGTGCCCGGAGAAGTGAGGAGCAGGGGGAAGAGTGGATCGGGCAGCGGGGACAGGAGCAGGAAAGGGGTGCAGAGAAGGTTGCGCGGAGATTCCGTGCGAATGAACTAGCTACAACACGCAGCAGCAAGCGGACTCTTTCTTTGCCTTGAAAATTACGTTTTCAGACATAGGATATCGCTTTCGTGTCCTGAAAAACGTTTGTCTAGCTCTTGGAAATAAAGTACGTTTTCATAATAAGCAGAAGTGACCTGTCCAGGAGTAATTTGTGCGACCAGTGCGTCAGTCTTTAGACCCTGCGTCTGCTTCAGTCGCGCCATCGCTGGAATGAATCTTCAAGAATCACCTTAGTTTGGCTTCGCTGCTTTTCCCCTTGTCTTCTTCTTTCAGCGACCTCAAAAACGGACTTTCTTTTGCGGCGAACTGCTCCTGGATTCTTGTCTGTCATTGCAACAAACTTTGTGCGAACTGCGAGGAAGATATAGGTCAAAAAAAGCCGCTAAGAACTGTTGCGTTGGTGGAGTAAACAGCGTCTGTGCGTCTTGCGTCTGTGGACTGCGTGACAGGCGTACGTAAACCACGTACCGGCGGCGCGCAGGCAAGTCAGTTACGCTAGAAACGTAGGGAGATTGATTGACAGCCTGTCAGCTAACAGATATTTTATTCTCTTTTTTTTGGTCATCATAATTACAAGGCTACTGCACCTCTATAATGCTATCATTGACAACTTGAAACAAAAAAAAAACAAAAAAAATCCTCCATACAACCTTTAACGAAGGCTACATGGAGCACACCCTGCACCTGTCGGGCAGGGGCGAGCGCGCACGGAGTCTGGAGTCTGGAGCGAGCAGGGTGAGCGGGACTGGGCGGAGCAAGGCGCACGGAGCGGAGGAGCGGAGAGAGAGAACCACGGGCAAACAGCCGTATTTATAGGTTCTGCAAAAAGCCACGGAAAAATAAACCATAAACAAAAATTACGCAAAAATGACTAATTACAACTTAAGACAAAAGGGAACAAAAACAACTAATGATCCAAATCAATGTGCCTGCGCGTAACAGTGTGTCCTGGATCTTTCTTGGGGCCCCTCCCGGTGAGACAAGCCCGGGACACCTCCAAAGAAAGGCACCCAGGAGGCAACCGGAACAGATGCCCGAGCCTCAGCTTCTCCTCTCAACGTGGAGGAGCGGCGGCTCTACTCCGAGCTCCTACAGTGTGACCGACCTCCTCATGCTATGTCTAAGGGAGCGCCCAGTAACCCTGCGGAGGAAACTCACTTCGACAGCTTGTATCTGTGATCTCATCCTCGTCATTATCCAAAGCTCATGACCATAGGTGAGGGCAGGAACGTAGCTGGACTGGTAAATCGAGAGCTTTGCACTACTGCGCATGTCTCCTGCAAAAAGAGCCGCTGTTTCAGCAACTACTGACCCCGGTGCAGCACTCCGTTCAGTACCTCGTCTTTAATGTTATACCATGAAACATATAAAGCAAAGCAACAGAATCTCCAAGGACAAAAGCAGGAGGCAAACCCTTCACCAGAAAAAAAAAAACACAGTTCACCTTTAAAATGCAAGTATGAGATGATAAAGCATCTTCCACCAGTCGTAAACAGGAAACTCTCCGCAGCAGCGACTTGTTCGTTAATGCTCTGAATGAGATTGACTTAGGCCAGTGACAGTCTGACCCCAATCCCCTCCCGCACTCTCTGGGTCACTGTTCTGCCCGGCGCTCTACCAGCACAGGCACAGAGCAGAAATCCTGTGTATTATTAGCCGCTGCGTTAGCTCTTTCCCATGGCCTGGAGGATTAGGCGTACTATTCATACCCCCGCTCAAGCTGCGCTGTCCCCCGTCGCGGTGTAGGCAACCTGCGGTCTCGAATAAGTGTTAAGAGCAACGAGCCTGGTAATGCCCTTTAATGTTAGCCTAGCAAAATCCATCAAAAATGCATGATAACAGAAGGAAATGAGGAAATATTGGGCTTTTTTTTTGGCACCTGGCAAAAAAAAAACCTCTAACAAAATACATTTACAGTAGCTCCGAGACTGAGAGTATGTATGCATTGTGGCTTCTTTAAGAGATGTTATTACGGTGTGAGTACTACGAAAGCCGAGAGGGGTTCACAACAAACGCAAACGCCGTAACAAATACAAATGCGACAACACAACAAAAAGCCACAACGGAAATGACTGAGGGACTCTATTTTAATGCAAATGGCACAACAAATACAAACGCCACAACACAAATGCAAATGCAAAACACATGAAAAAGCCACAACACATTTCAAAAAGCCATAACACATCAAAAAGCCACAACGGAAGTGACCGCGGGACTCTATTTTCCGACGAACTGATAAAGCGGCAAGTGAAGAAGAAGAACTACAACGTGAAAAGTAAAG